GGGCATATGTTTTCAATTATTTTGGGTAAATACATGGGAGAAATTACTAAGCTATGTAGTAACTGTTTAATCCAAAACAAAGCCTTTGTTTGCAAAAGAAAATTAAAGAACTAGCCCAAGGTTAAACAATTCATACTTACTGCCTAAGGTATGTATGTGTCATACCTGTTCCCGAAACCTAATGCTCAGCCAAACTCCCACTCTGCAGTAGGACTTGTATTGACAGAGAGGTACAGGTCCTTGTCCTTGAATGTGGACTTTATTTAGTTTCCTGGCATATCTACATGCTCCTGTTCATATTTTACCCTGTCTCCAAGAATCAGCCTTGAACTCTCCTGTGTTTAAATTTTTATCATACTACATTGCAAGTTCTGTATTACATGTCCTGCAGAATCTACTGTGTCTTGCTTTTTATTTTGTTATTTTACATTTCTAATGTAGATAAATATCTTTCAGGGAGGGCCCTGGTAGAAGGATGGGAGAACTGTCTTAGCTTTTATGTAAGAAGAAAATTCTATAAAGCTAGAGGTATCTCTCTGTGAAAATAGAACTAACTCTGCCTAGAACTGAATATGTTCCAGCAGCAGTAGTCGGATGTCCTCCACTTAGGAGTTAGTAAATACACTTCCACATGAGCCAACAAATAATACGACCACATCAGGGTGCTTCTCTATGCTCGCTAGAAGATTGAGTTCAGTTAAGTCTGAATTAATGTGGTACGAAATTCTTGGAAAGTAACAAAATTAAAAATATCTTCATTTTTCAAATTTTAATCTTTTTTGAAAACCATACTTTCCATTTCTCAGATGCTATAAATGTTCTTGTTTCCATGCATAAAAAAGGGCATAGAACTCTAGTTAAGTGGTCAACTGGTTCAGTATTTGCATTTCACTTCTGCAGCGTCTTTGCTTTGTGACCTTAGACTAGTTACTTTACCTATGTATATCTCTGTCCCTTCATCCAAAAAAGGGACAACAGGACTATCTCCTTTGAACAGTTTTTGAGATTTCCTAATGCTTGCCTGGTACATAATAAACCAACCCAAACCAAACTCACTGCCATTTAGTTGATTCGGACTCAGAGTGAGGCCGTAGGCAGAGTGGAACTGCCCCTTTGGCTTTCTCACGCCGGAGAGAGAGCAGGACGCTTTGTCTTTCTCTCCTGGAGCTGCTATGCTCTAGCTGTTGACCTTGCAATTAGCAGCCCGATTCGTGAGCCACGATGACAGTTCAGCTCAGCACATAATAAGTGCTCATTAAGTGTTTATTTTAGTGGATGGGGGTTGAGAAGTAAATGGCTATAATAAAACTTGATCTGTTTTTTAACTCTTTCTCAGAGGGAACACAAGAATAGAAGAGGCTTGTGAAATGTATACCAGAGCTGCAAATATGTTCAAGATGGCTAAAAATTGGAGTGGTATGTATATAATTTTTGTGTACTTTTCAGATATATAACTTTTAAGTCATTACAAAGAAGGAAATAACTGTTCCTGCCCCTAAGAAGATAAAATTGTAGGCAGCTGTCAGTGCTTCTGACCTTCAAGGACCTACCTGCTCTCCCCATACCTGTTCCATCTGTGACCTCATCCCCTCCTGCTCACCCCATGCATTCTGCATACCTGTGCAAACACTGTTTCCTCTGGCGCACTCTCCTTCTAAGTAACAGTGGTTCCCCTCACTTACGGTCTTTCCTAAACTGATGTTTTAGTTTCTCTCTCCTGTATTTCCAGGGTCAGGATAGTGCCTGCCACAGAATAAGTGCTCAATATATTTGCCGAATGAATAAATGGAGGACTTAAATATTTGTGAAGCCATGTCTGTGTGGTAATGGTGCCACATTGCAATACAGTTTTAAAGGTTGTTTTATAAAGATAAACTCATTTGATATTCAACTTGTGAGAGATCATATGACTGAGTAATACACCGGTTTGTTACATGTGAAAATTTAGCCTGCAGGAGTTACGTGACTTCCCAAGACTTAGTGTATGCTCTCTTAAAGACACTTTCGAGTTTGTAGAGACCAAACTGGCATTATTGAGCTATGACTGGCATGAGCACTCAGAAAAAAAGTAACCAGCAGCTAGTTTTAGAAGGTGGGAATTTCAGTTTAAAACTAAAAGTACTTAAAATTTAGAGAGAAATAGAAGGATCTTGCAGATATTACTTTGAGGATTAAGATGCCCTGACCCAAGCCATGGTATGTTCAGTGGCCACATGTGCATGTGAAAGTTGGACATTGAATAAGGGAAACCATAGATAAATTAATGCATTTGAATTATTACAATGGTGAAGAATATTTAAAATATATGGACTGACAAAAGAACAAATAAATCTGTCTTGGAAGAAGTATATAGATAAATTAATGCATTTGAATTATAACAGTGGTGAAGAATATTTAAAATACATGGACTGACAAAAGAACAAATAAATCTGTCTTGGAAGAAGTATAGCCAGAGTGTTCCTCTGAGACAGAGGTTCTCAACCTGTGGATCGCGACCCCTTTGGGGGTCGAA